TCTCTCCTTGCCTGAATGGGGGGCTCCGCTGGCGCTGGGGGGAGACGTCGCAGGGCGGCGACCCCGGCGCGGAGCCCGAGCTCGCGGGGGGCAGCCGGCCGGCTGGAGCGGGGCCGGGGGCGCTCATGGAGGGCGGGGCAGCCGGGGACCCGGTCCTGGGGACGGCGGCGGCCGCCGCGCCCGAGACCCGCGAGCACCTCTTCAAGGTGCTGGTCATCGGCGAGCTCGGCGTGGGCAAGACTAGCATCATCAAGCGCTACGTCCACCAGCTCTTCTCCCAGCACTACCGGGCCACCATCGGGGTGGACTTCGCCCTCAAGGTCCTCAACTGGGACAGCCGGACGCTGGTGCGCCTGCAGCTATGGGACATCGCCGGTAAGTGGCGGGCTGCGGCCTCCGTCGAGAGCCGGCGGCTAACTCAGGTTGCCACACGGAAAGGGACGTGGCTGGGTGGACCCCAGTGGGATCACGACAACGGTAAGGGGCAGTAGTAGTTGAAGGGTTTAAAAGCAGGACAAGATCGAGAAATGCGTAAATAACCCTGGTTAGATGCCTCTACTAAGTCTGCAGAAAGCATCTCATTTTTAAGAGATGGAAAGGTGGCCCTCTCCACTCCAACGTGCTCTCTCTCTTTCCCTCCCTCCCCTGACCAGAGGTGAAACAGCCATGGGGGCTTTTCCTGGAGTTTTAACTCTGAATGATGACAAGTTATAATACACGAGGAAGAGTGGGAGGAGTGGGGGAGGGGGGCAGGGGCCAGCTCCTCTCAACCAGCTTTAACATTTCACAGAGGAGCACAGAAGTTGAATGATTGCCCCCAAGTGACCCTCCTAGATAGTGACACAACCAAGGCTAGCAACCAGGTGCCTTTTCAGAATGTTTTTCATCACCCACCTTGGACCCTTCTTTCTGAGTGAAATTCTATTCTTCAGGTAGGGTGATCTCCTAGGTGAGTCCTTAACAACCCCTGCACCCTGGGGAAGATTTGGGAAAGCTACTCTTGAATCCTGCCTCCCTCCTTAAGCCAAGGCCTAACCCCACTCCTGGCCCTGCCCCACTCCACACCACAATAGATTGTTTCCCTGGCATTTGCTTTCAGTTGACAATTTGGGAGCATAATGCCCCTCTTTGAAGGGGGTGCATATTCTCCTTGCTCTAATTTATGAAAATTTGAGCTCTGTCTGGTGGGGTGGGTGGAGTGTGGGCATTTAAAAAGATGGTGACTTTTGGAAAGTTTAAATATGGAAGTGATAGCAAAAGTTACCCTGTTCAATCATTGCTGGTAAGAAGCTCAGTCGGCAATAGAGAATCTGGATGGGAGAGTGTTCAGAGCGAGAGACCATCCTTCACGCTACAGATGCATCAACTGTGGCAGGTATGGTCACCCAGCTGGCAAATGAGTGGGGGGGACACAGGTCTGTCTGCTAGGCAGTGTTTTTTTCACCAACAGCTTATTACATATGAAAAAGTATTGAAGAATTAACCTATGTATATTAACCTAAATACTCATTTATTCAAGAACAGACTTTTCTGCCTCAGATATGCAAATAAGTTTATGTATGTCAGTCCCTCACAGAAAGGAGGATAATCTGCCCTGGGCTCAGCTTTTTTTTTTTTTTTTTTCTTTTTTCCCTTTTGGTTACAGAAAACCAAAAGTTCGTTTGAAAAGTCATCTTTTGAAGTCAGGCTTCTTTTGAAATACTTCCTGCTGTTTCACAGACACTTACGAATAGTAGTATTCCTTCTTGACAAAGTCATAAATTCTAAAGGTTGCCTTACCATAGTCAATCTTCATTGTTGCTACAGATTTCCGTGAAGATTTTACACCCCTCACCTAGGAGGGTTGTTGACTTTGCCTTATTCTTCTTGTTAAATAATATCATATTTAACTATTATGATTGGATTTCACTGCAGGTAAATAAAAGATTTTATTGGCACATTTGTGTTTTTAAGCTTCCAGCAAAAATGCTGGTATTTGGAGGCTTGGGAAAGCAAAGTCATGAGTAATTTTCTCCCTGGGTATCACCTCTTATTTTTTTGTCCAGCTGTAACAGACCTATGCAGCCAGGAAAGAGACATAATCAGTCTTGTCAGACTCTGGTACACATTGGCCTAGATGGAATGTGCTTGCACTTTTCCCTAAATGCAAAGGTTGAGCTGTGCCGGGACAGAAAGCAGAATTTTAAGATCTCTAAAAGGGATTCCTGGATGTTTAGTACCACTCAGCAAGTACACACGAGCTGTTAAAAAGATTAGGGGTAAATTAATGAGGTAGTTGAAAATTACTAGTCTCACCTTATAAATAAGATTTCCAGAGATGGAGTCTTAATATATAAGGAAGTTAACACAGATATAATTTGGCTTTCACTTGGGGCTTAGGGAGCTACATCATTAACTATGTTTGCTTTGAATATTTGACCTCTTAGTGAATCCTAGCTCATACCATTTGAGTTAAGTGGTCATGATGTAATGAAGCAAACTGAAGGCCACTCCAAAAAGTTCCCCATGGCTAAACATATTTGCCTTATGTAGTTACAACATTGAATGATCTTTAATTGTGAAAGTTTAGAAATACTCCTTGATTGCAAAACAGTAGGTAGGGCTGGCCAGTTGATATGACTAACTTAAGGTGTGGCCCTGTGACTAGTTTTTTACTGTTGTGTTAGAGATGAGAAAGATGGTCAAGGAATTTTGTTGGGTCTCTATGCTTGGAAACTTTGGCAGGGGTAACAGGGAGGAGTTGGCCAAATGTTTTCCATAAATGTGGCCGGGCAGTTTAAGCTAAACTCTTCAGATTAGGAACTACAGTGATTCTTGGGTACAGGCCTTCCAAATGCTTTCTTATTGTATCAAATGAATGTAGCTACAAAATACCGATGCACCTCAATATAATTTTTGTGTTGGGCAACCGTCTCTTACCCCATACCTGTTTGAAGATGGCTCTTAACACAGGACTGAAATATATACTAAGACACTGAAGTCTTCAGTAAGCTTTTCAAAAAGTTTAATAAATACTACTAAATTAAGAGGTAGCAAGAGATGTCTCTGATCTTCTTTTTGTTTGTTGTTACATAAATGAACCCATTTATTATAGGCCAGCAATGTTTTAAATAGTGGTCTCTTGGGGCGCTTGGGTGGCTCAGTCAGTTAAGCATCAAACTCTTGGTTTCGTTCAGGTCATGATCTCATGGTTTGTGAGTTCAGGCCCTACCTGGGGCTCTGTGGAGCCTGCTTGGGATTCTCTCTCTCCCTCTCCCTGCCCCTCCCCTTGCTCCCCCTCAAAATAACTAAAAAAAATTAAAAAAAAAAAGAAAGTAAAAACAAGTTTGTCCATTTAGAACTAATATAATTTAGTCTTCCCGTATTCACTGAAGTGATTGCTTTTGTAGGGGAGGCAAAACTTTATCTCTGCCTTCTTAGAGTTTTCAGCAGAGCCTGAAAATTAAAAAAAGAAAAAAAAAAGAAAAAGAAATCAATCCGAGACAGATTAACAGCAGAAATTTATGTCACCTAAGTTTTACCTGACACAGGAGTCCTCATAAGAAAATGAATACCCAAAGAAGTGACAAAACCTAAGTGCTTTTATACCAGGTTGAACAAAGGGAGGGAATTGTGGGAAAATATCTAAAATATATGGGGAGGCTAACGGAAAATAAGAGTTATTTTGTATGGTCTGTTTATAGAGAATTCTCCCAGCTTCAATTCCTGTCCGTGGTGATAGGAATGTTTCTTTCCTCCTGGTAGAGAGAGGACATCTCTCCTATGGGGGTTTTCTCGTCTGCCTTCAGGAAGAAAAAAGAGAGATTAGAGTACCTTTCGGGCACCTGCTCTTTTTAAACTCCCTTTAGTTCAAATTAATCCTTATGCCAAAGTGGCATTTTCTGGGGGCCTGGTCTCTTCTGCCACGCTTCACTTTTTAGGATTAGTATTTCTGTATAAAAATCTGAGTAAAAATCTTCTGTAAAAAAAACTTTGGACCAACCAACCAATCAGGAACATTCTACTCTGAAGTTCATGTAAATAGTATTTACCAAAATATAAAATGCATGGTTGGAAGACATTATCAATTACATAAACTATACTTAGATTCACTTTTTATTTTTTTTTTTTTTTGATCCCCAGCCTAAATTAGAATGTTGATCCTGCTTTTCT